GCGTCTTAGCCTCTTCACCAGCTGTTGATGCCATGTACTTCCATTATGGGAGTCTGGCAGTTGGTGCTGTCCACACCTTGGTGATTCCTGGGGGTTGGCGAGGGCTGGTGTGCACCCCTCCTTCCCAGCACACCTGCCATAAAGCTGCTGGGTCAGGACAAGTCTCCCCTTGTCTCAATATAATGTTCCTAAAGGCAAACATGCTAATGAGGAAGTGGTGTTGGCTAATTAGGAAAGCTGAGTTTGCACTGTGACCATTCTGTAGAAGCAGTCCTGGAACACAGGAGAGGTGCTCATGTGAGGCAAGGGCTCTGTCAGAACCAGCTCTCCAAGAAAGCTGACACACCATCAGAACTGCAGATTGGTAACAGATTAAGAATGAGTATAAAAGGTTGTGGTGAACCAAAATGATAAACAGCTTGAACTGGAGAGTCTGATTGCATTCCTCCATGGAATTACACATCAAAAAATATGGTAACTACTGTCATACTAGCTCCTGAAGAGGGTCTTGGTGCTATACTCAGCAGCAGTTCATTAGCTCTCCAAAATATGTAATCTCATCAGGGTTCTTCATCCCTGGAGGTGTTTAAAAAGAAGTAGATCTAGCACTTGAGGCTATGGTGTAGTGGTTAGGTATGCTGGGATGAAGGTTGGACTAGATGATCTTCAGAGGTCCCTTCCAACCCCTAACATTCTGTGATTCTGTGATTCTGTGATCCTCCTCACTTCCTATGCTCATTTTATAAAAGGGCCAATTTAATAACTGTTTTTGCTGGGAGATGGCTCAGGTATTAAATTTAACCTCTGAGTTCTGATAGTGCCTCAACTAAGGACTCTTCCTCCACTGAATGAAGGGCCTCTTCAATATCCTGACATGGGTCTAGCATTCAACAGGGTGAACAGAGCTGTGAACCACACCCCTGATGTCAGAAGTGCAGCTCTAGTCAGGGCAGTCACTTACACACCATCACCACTGTGCTTCATTCTGCTTTGTCCTTGCAAATCTGCTTCTGCACCGTGTGCCCATGGCTTTCATCTGAACTGCATCTGCCACTATAGTACTCCACAGCACTGTTTTGTTAAAGAAGAGGCTTTCTTTCAGCAGGCATTATAATGTCAGTTCACATTTGCAAAAGAGTTTAATGTTCAAACTGTGCCCATGTTCTTTCCTCAGGACGAAGAAATCTGCCCAGAGCAGAGTCAGGTTCCCTTACTGCACTCGAGATGTTGGCCAGAATGAGAAAAATGTTGCATGTGCAATTTTGGAAAAGATTTTGTTGCATTAACCAATGATAATTCTGGAAGGGGGCCTGTGCTGTAGGCAAATGGAGATGAAAGCCAGCTTCTGATCTAACTTGTGCTTTGCAGAGAGAAAAGAGAAATATCACTGATTTGCCAGGCTTAGACTCAAATGGAGTCAGTCAAGAAATGATAGACAAAGCCCTTGGGAAACACATTACACCCATCACCCTCAAATCCACAATCAAAAGCAACCCCTTGTATAATGATATTCAGGTGGATGATGACTGGAAGGAGAAGAAAAAGACCCCTTCCAGGACGGTGCAAGACTATGACAGGCACTCACTGCACTCTAACTTGGCCAGCCACATGAAGGTACCGTGCTGTCACACTGTGACTCAGCAGAGAGAATTGCCATAAGCAGCCTTCTTGGCACTTTGCGTGGGATTCCAGAAGTGAATATGGATGTATTTTCTGGAATAGATGGGATACTAACCTGAGTCTGACTGGGAAAAGAAGTCTACGTATCTGGTAAGACTCCAGGAATTTCAGTTCTGCAGAACGCAACCTCTTGTAACTAGAGAAAGTCCTAAACCACAACATCCCACAAGTCAGCTTCCTCATTTGTATAGGGAAGATCTATAAACAAGGCAATTAAATACTATATAGACACTTTAATAACTGTTCATAACATCATTCTGTTATCAAATAAACTACATATTCTCAACCTCATCCGCACTATGCAGGATCCTGCCTGCAGGTTGGTACAAATCACTTTTAGGGTTACTTTTATGAGTTTTTTTCTGTTGTTCACTTTTTTGGAAATGGACTCATCTGGTTTTTTATAAATCAACACCTCTTCTTGAGAAGACAACATGGTTTCTTCTGGGTTTTTAAATCACATTTCAATGGCTAGTGTCCTACATTTGGTTCCTGGCTGAAAAGTGTGGTTTTAGTTTTCCCCAGTGGAACATTTGCAGCATCTGGCAAGTAGTGAAACCTATGTTAAGTGAAAGTTTATTGCATTTGTGTTAAGATGCCTTAAATTCATTAATCACTATCTGATGATAGCCCAAATACTTCTGACTATGTTCTAATGACTTTATGTGCAAGAGAGAGGATCTGAATTCATTTTCTGATTTTTCTTTTAGGAAAATCCTAATGATCTACAGTTCTGGATGGGGGATGTTTATACTCCTGGATATGATACCTTGTTAAAAAAGAAAGAGAGAGAAAAAAACCATTCCAAATGTTGCCAAATCATCCTGCTCATGGTACTAGCTGTTTGTATCTTGATTACTGTAGTCATGCTCAACATTTTACTTACTTAGTACACTCAAATGATGGTGATGGGAATTTTTTCAATAAATATTTTTTATTAAGCTATTCCCTTCTGCTGTTTCATTTCAGTTCTAATTTTTGATCACAAATATAATTAGTTTGACATTACTGTTTTACAATGTTCCTGTGCAGCGTAAGGAATGGATTCTTAAAAGAGAAAAATACTCTGAGCACAGAAGAATGGTCCTTATGGGTATAATTATAAAAGAAAACTATTAATAGGTTACTAAGTGCCTTTTTCTTTGGACTAGTGGTTGGGGTCAGTATGTTCAGTATGGTACATATAGTATGAACAGACAAGCAGCTGCGTATTTGTTCTGATGAACACCTACCATCCTGTTCATCTTTTGATGATAACTATTATTGGAATATAGAAAAGTATGACAAAGTAGCATTTAAGATATCGTAAAGGATTCTACCAAAAAATTACACGTTACTTAGTGACCAAATGCATTGGTGATGCTGCATTTAGTAAAAAAATAGCCTACATGCATAAATGCTTTCTTACACCTCTTTCAGAGAAGAAAAACTTAAAACAGACTGCTAAGCTTCTATCCCAAGAATCTTCTGAAATGGGTTTTCTTCATCCCTGTGTCGTGCTCTTTGAACATGTAGCATCACTGTAACTCCAAAACATGGAAGACAAATATTTTTTTTAATCTGACATGTCAAAAACTGGAGCAATATTGGTAGAGTATAAACTGGAACTGTAACACACCTTAAAAAGATTAAACCTATATAGCCATGCTGTGAAAATGCATCTTTGTATATGAAACGTCCAAAATTAATTGTTAAGAACACTCAAAAAACTAAGCTCATACACCTCAGAATAGTTCAGGAGAATGAAAACATGAGATAAAATGACAAAACAAAACGTGAGTAAACAGAGAGAAAAAATAAATTCTTTCTGTCCTTTCTGAAAAATACTCTTGAGTGCTGCAAATAAGTCAAGGTGCTCTAAATACTATTGAGATGAGGATCACCCTCACTCACACAAGAGAACCTCACAGATATATGAAAGCTGGAAAGTTGGGATTATACCAGCTCTGTCTCTCTTCACACAAAAATTGCTCTGGAGTGGGTCAGGAATACGACCAAGGTACAGGGTGTATGTTGCCCTCTCTCAATCTAGCACGTCCTGCTTAGAGCACCTTTGCAGTGTTTTAACTCCAGTCAGGGTGGATTCATCTTCAAGTACAGTATGGCGGTAAAATAAGTGTGTTTAATTCCTTCCTTCCTCACTTGGTTGCTGAATCTTTTTTGTGCCTTAACTGCTTGGATCCTAGTCCAGTTTGTACTGTAACTGGTTTGAAGACTCAAGCTAAAATCTAGCACGTCCTGCTTAGAGCACCTTTGCAGTGTTTTAACTCCAGTCAGGGTGGATTCATCTTCAAGTACAGTATGGCGGTAAAATAAGTGTGTTTAATTCCTTCCTTCCTCACTTGGTTGCTGAATCTTTTTTGTGCCTTAACTGCTTGGATCCTAGTCCAGTTTGTACTGTAACTGGTTTGAAGACTCAAGCTAAAACATCTTACTGCTTTAATCTGGTGAGCAGCCAACAGCAAAACTGCAGCAGCGTTTTAATGTGCTGGCATAAAAACTGTATCCCTATTCCAAAATTGAACATTTCGGCAAATATACAGAAGAGCTTAGTCTCTCAGCTGGCTGCAGTTTCAGCATAGACGGGTGTTCTTATCTGAAAGATCAGGTCCATTCAGCTTATGAAAGTAAGAACTTGCGAGCATTTAACAGGATTAGTAGCTGACATTATTAAGTAATTATTCACATTAAGAAAACAATACTTGATTGTTTTTTCCAGCCCAAGTCGTACATTTGCTCTAAGTGCATTGCACACAATGCAGAGACGTACTTTTGTAAATTGTTGTCGCCTGCAGGCGGGAAGCCTAAAAGCAAAGGGCTCTGTAATTTCCAGGAAAAAAGCCAATAATGCGCGTTTCTTAACTGCATTTCTCTCTGCGGGCTTAGCAGCAGGGATAAAAACCTCTTTTCTCCACAAGCCCATTACGGGCTGTTTCAGTCTGGTTTCGTTGCTGTCATCTAGTGGTGACTAAGAAAGACAGAGGAAAAACGTTTCAGCCATGGAGATGTCAGTTTGTAGTAATCTGCCTTTTATTTTTCTTTCTTCTTTTTTTTTTCTTTTTCCCTCCTTCCTTTTTCTTTTGGAGTGGGTCGCCGATTTTTCCGCTTACCGCTCTCGCCGTTGCGATGCGGGTTCCTTTGCTGACACCTCGTGGTGGAGAGACCTCGTGTAGTATTAGGTTGCATGCATCATGCAAGAAAAACTGTGGTGGTTCTTGTGCACAAAAGAAGCTTCGTGTTGCTTCTTTTAACGTGTAACTTTATTTTCCTCCCTTTTTCCCTTCCTTCCTTCCTTCCTCCCTCCCTCCCTCTCTTCCTTCCTTTCTTCCTTCCCTATCTATGTGTCTGTCTAGTGTAACTCATTAGAGACAGGGCATGAAGAAAAAAAGTCCTCATGTAATGTTTCTAAACTGGAACCAGTACTGGAGTTTGGAAAGCAGAATGATTAGTGTATTCCAAAAGTGTTTTTAAAATTAGATGAATAAAACAACCCTGATACATATGGCATTCTTTCTGTGGTAAATAATCACTGAGATCTGTGTTCACTGATCTCTTCCTGGCATGAGAGAATGCCTACATTTGTGCATCCATAGGATTTAACCAGGTGCTCAAAGACAAGAAAGTAGTTAAATTTGAATCCAAACAGAAACAAGCCTCGACATGGATTTACATTTTTATTCCAGTGGTAATCAGGTGAAATGGCAGCAAAATGTCCTGCTTAATAGTCAATAAAACCTCTTAACATGCAACACCAGTTGGATACATCAGTATCTTACCAGCACCTACACACATAAGATGTAGAAAAAGGATGTAACTGTGGTAGAGCACTACCTTTGACTGGGAAAACTGGAATTTTCAGTACGAAGTATGAAAGTACGAAGTACGAAGAGCTACTTCAGTACGAAGTAGCTCTTACAATCTGTACAGCTACAACCTGGAAGCAAATAAGATCCCTTGTTCATGCATGTTCTGCTAACTTCTAATTGTGATAGCAGTTTCTATATTTCAAAAATGATTTTAGAAAAATTAACTTCCTTCTCTCCAGCAAATAAGGACTATCTTTCAAAACTACCTAAGTGATTGAAGTTTATTTTTTATTGGCTTTTAGTACAACTGCTGTGCCAAATCACTAGAACATACTGGAAAATTCTGGTGAGGAAAATCCCAGCACCCTTCTTCCCCTTCCTTTCGAATATTCTTACTTTTCACAAAGTATCCATAAATACGCAGCTGAGATCTCAAGTTATTTGCTTTTACTGAACATGGGCTCTTGCTTGACTCTGGCACTCTGACAGGCACTATTTCAGGAAAGTATGGAGCTGGCTCATGGAAAGGTTCTTTCAAGGCTTGTAACTTTAGCAGGGTACACGTTTTCATGGTTTTCAGCTACTTCTTCTTTTTTTTTTCTTCCCCTTCCCCCGCCAATGAGTTCATTAAACAAGATAAAGTCTAAAAGAGGGAAAAGAGAGGCAAAGAGACATTTTCAGAATTTGCCACAGGTAGAGTTACCTTGGTCACATAAGGATTTGTAAAAGGAAGATGTGAAGTGAATTGTGAGCAGTCATATATTCTAAATTTCTCTTGACAGGGCAGAAAGTACTCCTTCAGATATGATGTTCTCACATTTGAGTGGTGGGGGAGCCGGTTAGCTCAGTGGTTTGAGCGTGGTGCTGACAAAAACAATTTGAACAATGAAGAACCGTAACAGCAAAATCTGTGTGGATGCTAGACATCTCTGTTTAGATCAGAGCAATCGTCACAAATTCCCCTACCCGAGGACAGTGCTCCACTGGTTCTTTCAGAGACATTTAAAAGCAGATCAGATGACAGGATCCATTCTAAGCGCCTAGGTCTGTGTGGTTATGGTCTTGTAATACTTGAAATACTCATTTATGGAAGTACTAGTCAGACGAACTAAACATTAGACAGCCTTCCAGCACAACAAATTATCCAGTCTGTTCCTTTGAACTGGTTAGAAGATGCTTCTAGATTTAAAAACCTAGAGCAGCAGTTACTTGCTGTAATAAGCAACAGGTGCAACATAAACTGTACCATCTTTTTGCTGCACAAGATAAAAACTTTCAGCACTCAGTATTTTTGGTGGATTTTAGTTTAACAACAGCACTTTCCTCCTACATGTTTTCACTTTTTTTAAATGCTTTTTGCACTACATAATCATTATTATTATTTTTAGGATATCCTAGAAAGCTTTGCCTCATAGACAAATGATTATTTGCATTGTGTAGGAATACATTAATAGATACAGGAGAGACTCTTGTGTCTGTGAATTTCTGTTTACACTGAAAGGCTTTCTCAGTTCCAACTCTATCTCTGATACCATCAGTTCAGACACAAGCCACTACTACATACAGACTCGGGGTACCTGGATTCATGGGTAAGACCATGACATGTGTCATGGCCCAATTTATTTCTCAGAAGCCTGGTGACACTGCAAATCCAGAATTGTAAGCCGAGTTTGGCAAGCCTGTGCCCGTTTCCAGTCTCTTAGCTGGAAGGAGAACAACAGAACAATAGCTTAGAAAAAAATAAATTTCTTCATGACATGCTTGTCAGTAAGTCTATGAATCAAAATCTGCAAAATATTTAAATTGCAAGATTCAGAGTTTGGGAGGGTCTTCTCCCCTCCCCCTAGTTGCAGAGGCTAACTTTGTGAATTTCTGCATCTAGACATGTTTTGTAATGGTCCTGATATTGTTTTAATGCTGACCATGACACACAATTCAAGAGTCAGAATATTCAGTTATGAGTTACATAGCTAAGGGTGGGTTTTCTTCCTCACCAGACCTAATGTAAATCTTCTGGTTGTGGAAAATAAACACCTAACACTTTCTTCTCTGATATATTACATTTATTAAAGCAATCCAGCAGC